AGCGGCTGGCATTGTGAAACTGCTCAGGGACAGAGTGAAGCACGCATTTCCGGTGTTCTGTTGACCTGCAGCCACAGTGTCCCCTCTGGGCGCCCACCACATGCTATGTCTTCCTCTATTCGCACCTTCTCACAGCTTATCCTCTAGTTTCTCTACTTGTCTTCCTCACCAGACTGAGCTCCTTGAAGGCAGAGACTGGCTTTCGCGGCGATTTCCCAGCGCTTGGCTGGACCTGGCACACAGCGGATGCTCAGTGCATGTTCAGTGAATGGGTGAACAAGCTGATGACTTCTAAACCTTTATCTCCAGCCCCAGGGTCCCTCTTCTAAGTTCTCCAACCGTGCTTCCAACTGTCTGCCTGACACTGTCACATGCACATCCCATGGTCACCTCAGACTCATCATGTTCAACCCTGAGCCCCTCAACTCCACCCTGGCCCGACCACTCCGCTCACTTGTTCACTCCCAGTGAAGGCCAGAAATGTGGAACCATTCCTCAGGTCCACAGGCTCCAGAATCCCCTCCCCCTTTCTACTCTTTCCCTGCCTTTGTTCATGTTCATCATTGCCTTTTTAAAAAATTGAGGTGAAATACCCATAACATAAAATTAACTGTTTGAAAGTGAACAATGTATTGGCAATTTTGGCAATTTGTGCATTCACAATGTCGGACCATCACCACTTCCAAAACATTTCAGCACTCCAAAAGGAAACCTTGTACCCATCCAACAGTTGTACCCCACTCACCTCTCTCCCCAGCCCCAGCAACCACCAATCTCAGTTCTCTCTCTTCGGATTTACCTTTTCTGGGTATTTCATACAAATGAAATCATATGTTATTTTTTGAGTCTGCCTTCTTGCACTTAACATAATGTGTTTGCTTGTTTGTTTGTTTGTTTTTTGAGACAGTCTTGCTCTAGTTGCCCAGGCTGGAGTGCAGTGATGTGATCTCAGCTCACTGCAACCTCCACCTCCCAAGTTCAAGCAATTGTCCTACCTCAGCCTCCCGAGTAGCTGGGACTATAGGTGTGTGCCACCATGCCTGGCTAATGTTTGTATTTTTAGTAGAGACACAGTTTCACTGTGTTGGCCAGGCTGGTCCCACACTCATGACCTCAGGTGATCTGCCTGCCTCGGCCTCCCAAAGTGCTGGGATTACAGGCATGAACCACCGCACCTGGCCTTAACATAACGTTTCTGAAGTTCATCCACATTATTAAAGTATGTGTAAGTATATGCTATAAGATTTATAGCATGCATATGTACTTCACTCCTTTCTATGAATAATTTTCCATTGTATGGATAAACCACATCTTGCCTATCCCTTCATCCAGTGATAAATATCTGGGCTGTTTCCACCCTTTGGCTGTTGTGAATAGTGCTGCTATGAACATGCATGTGTGTGTATTTGCTGGAGTGCCAGTTTTCAGTTCTTTGGGTGTATACTTAGAGTGGGGTCGCTCGTCAGTGCCTTTTACCTTGTCTATTGCAGTAGACCCCAAACCGGCCTCCTAGAGCCAGTCCACTCTGTCCTCCATACGGTTGCAAGAGTGTTCACCATCTTCCTTTCTTTTTCAAAAAATACAATTTTATTTCTTATTGTAAAATCTATTGTCAATTGTTTTGTGCAAAAAAGAGTTGCTTTATTTTTAATCTGGGGAGATGTAAATGCCAGGCTGATCGTGTGTCTCCTCTGTGTTTTGGATGAAGTCCTGAGTGTCCTGGCACCCACGTGCCTCTTTAGCCATCTCTTCTGATGCTCTTCCTCACTGCCTCCCCATGCATGTTCCCCTGCAACTACAGTTATTATTATTATTATTGTTATTTTTGAGATGGAGTCTCACTCTGTTGCCCAGGCTGGAGTGCAGTGGCACCATATTGGCTGACTGCAATCTCTGTCTCCCGAATTCAAGCAATTTTCCTTCCTCAGCTTCCCGAGTAGCTGGGATTACAGGTGTGCACCACTATGCTCAGCTCATTTTTGTATTTTTAGTAGAGACAGTCCACCGTGTTGGCCAGGCTGGTCTTGAACTCCTGACCTCAAATGATCTGCCCACCTTGGCCTCCCAAAGTGCTGCGATTACAGGTGTGAGCCACCACGCCTGGCCTGCAACTACAGTTATGCACTCCTCCAGCCTCTGAGTCACTGGAGCTGCTATTCCTCTGTGGGACTGCCCTTCCTGCCCTTCCAGTCTGATCTATCCCACTTACCTTCTCTGACTCAGCTCTCCTTGTTACTGTTCCCCCCAGCAGGTCACACATACGTGAAAGTGGCCAGGATCACTGTGTCCAGGACAGAAGGAAAAGGAAGACCCACACAGGATGCATTTAGGTCTCACTGATTGACCATAAGCAGCACTGGTTTTACCTCTCACTTTTTGCAGTCTCAGATAGTCCCCACAGTGTCTAAGCTAAACAGGGAACCACCAACCCACCCAAGCTCCGTCATTAGGAGTTGGCATCTTGCTGCATTCCCTTGTTGTGACGGCTGGCAGTGAGGCTTGTGAACAAATGGGCAACCCAGAAGGAGCTTTCTCTTCCTTTTTCCTTCCTCCAGGCTTCTTCTTTCTACTCGGGCAGCCAGATGCTTTAGAGCTTAATTATACCCTACAGTTGGAAGCGCAGAATGTCAGAGCTGTAAAGGAAGGGCCTTATTATAAATAATAGCTGCTAGCATTTATTGAGCACTTACTCTGTGCCAGGCACTGCGCCAGGCCCGTTTCCAGGCAGTACCTTGTTTAACCTTCCCAACAATTCTAGGAGGCAGTTACCATCATCATCCCTGGTCTATAGGGAAGGAAACTGAGGCTGGGGGAAGCTTCAGGGCATTTCCCAAACTGTGCTAAATGGTACATAGTGTCACAAAATATTAGTCGGGGTTTGCAAAAAAGGATTCCATTGACAAATGCTGAATCCCACATCCCCCCTCACCCCACCCCTGGGGAAGTTCACAATGTACATCCACATACTAAAGGTCCTGAGAAGTCCTACAGCAATGAAACCTGTTTAAGTCAATGTCTCTTCTGTTGCAGACCTCACAGAACTACTTATCCAAAGAGCACACTTTGGAGAACATTGGTATTGACCAACTTTCTCATTTTACAGATGGGATACCAGAGACCCAGGCAGTACTTTTGGGGTAGACAAGGGACAGACCTTCAGCTCCTCACTGTCTTCAAGCTCACAAGAAGCATAGAGGGGAAGAAGACAGACGAGGGCCCATCTGGCCTACTACCTGTTTTTGTAAATAAAGCCTTTTTGAAGGTGTTCTGATTAGGCTCCCATAGTTAATGGATGAGCCAATGGAAGCCCAGAAAGGATGGTTGTCTTGTCCAATGTCACACAGCCAATTAGGAGCAGAGGCAGAAGTAGATCATAGATGTCCAAAATCCAGGTATTCTGTTGGGATGTGAGCTCCATGTCACCTGGGATACCTGTCTCACTCTCCACTGTATAGAACTTACCCAGGCATTGTTCCCTTTCTGCTACTGCGTAGACACCCAACCTGCAAGGCATTTCTTTAAATTTTCTTTTTTCTTTTTTTTTTTTTTTGATGGAGTCTTGCGTTGTCTCCCAGGCTGGAGTGCAGGGTGCGATCTCAGCTCACTGCAACCTCCGCCTCCCAGGTTCAAGCAATTCTCTTGCCTCAGCCTCCTGAGTAGCTGGGATTACAAGGCGTGCACCACCACGCGCAGCTAATTTTTGTATTTTTAGTAGAGACAGGATTTCACAATGTTGGTCAGGCTGGTCTCAAACTCCTGACCTTTTGATCCACCCGCCTCAGCCTCCCAAAGTGCTGGGATTACAGGCATGGTTGGCCTGAACTGCCTGGGTACTCCCCTCTGCCTTCAACCTCTCTAGGTAAATTGAGCAGGGGCCAACCTCGAAGTCTCTTAGGGGTCAAAGGCTGAATAGGACAATCCATGTTTATTTTAATTCTGTACCAGATGCAGTAAAACATAATTAACTTTCCCTCTGCCAATTTGAAACGTGAGATCATTTGGACAGGAACTGGGTAAACGGGCAGAAGGCAACCTTTGCCCGTTCCAGGAAGAGTGTGCCAAACAAATGAAGAGTGTAAACAGGGTCCTGGGGGTTTGTTTAAAACCAATTCAGAAAATAAATGATGTCCAAAGGCTCTTGGGCCTCCCTGAAGTACACTGTCGTACAGTGGTCATCTATTTACATTTTTCTGAAGGCATCTGGGTGGTTTACAGTTGAATATGCAAATCAAATCATTCTTACCTCTTCATTAAAATGGCTCATACGAAGAACACTTGTTGACAAATGTGAACAATTTAAAATCTCTGCAGATTTAAGCATTTTCTTTCTGGCGGGTCCATCCAGCAAGTGATACTAATTAGGAGCTTTTATTAACCTTGAGATCTGGAGGAGGGGGACTTCTTACTGACTCTGGATGGCTCAGGCATGCCAGAGGGCTAAAGGTTCATCTAGAAACAGCTGCAGAGACAGCAGAGCATAAAGCTCCGGGTGGCAGCTCTTCCTGGGGCAGCCGGACTGCCCAGATGGCCCTTCCAGAGCTGGGAAATGCAGACTTGTCCCTGAGGTGGAGGGTAAAAATAGTCCCGTGTGGGTGGTGGCTGGGCCCAGAGGCACTGGCTTCCTTTTCTCTAGAGCAGGGGGAGGCAGTCAGTTGACAGACTCGCCCTTAGGCTCCTGAGCCCCTCTAAGCCCAGGCTCGGGGGAGTCTCTCCCCAACAATGAAGCAGCCCCACCCCCACCCCCACCCCCAACACATACACATATGGAAGTGCTGGAAAGAGTTTGAGCTTAGTTGTAAGGTAACTAAGGATTTAAACCCTGGCTGTGCTATTACCAGCTCCATGACCTGGGACAAGATCCTTCTCCTTTCCAGGCCTCTGTTTTCTCATCTGTCGACTTGTTTCTTTCTACAAGTCTTGCTGTGAAGATTAAATAACAATGAGAGCCGACATGTTTCACTCTGTAACCTCACTCTTCTGTCCCTCTCCCTTCCATCCAGGTCCTCACCTTCTAGCACATTCTTCAAGAGTGATTCTGAGGCAAGCCAGCCGCCATGTCATGAGGACACTCAAGCAGCCCCATGGAGAGGTCCGATGGCGAGGAACAGAGGATCCCCCTGCCGATAGCCAATGAGGAACAGAGGCCTCCCAACAGCCATGTAAGGGGTCACCTTGGAAGCCAATGGCCCCTCCCTACTCAGGCTTTTACATGACTGCGGTCCTGGCCAACGCCCTGACGGCAACCTCATGAGAGACCATGAGCCAGAGCCACCCACCTAAGCTGCTTCTAGGTTCCTGACCCTCAGAAACCATGTGAGATCATAAATGTTTGCTCAATTTGAGATATTTGTGATGCAGCAATAAATAACAAATACACTTACCTTTCAAGGTTATTATAAGAATTAAGAGTTAATACACATCAAACTACAACCAAACTTGCTGGGACCAGAGGCTCAAGAAAGGGCAGACAGGGCCGGGTGCGGCGGCTCACGTCTGTAATCCCAACACTTTGGGAGGCCGGGGTGGGAGGATCACCTGAGGTCAGGAGTTCGAGACCAGCTGGCCAACATGGTGAAACCCCGTGTCTACTAAAAATACAAAAATTAGCCAGGCGTGGTGGTGGATGCCTGTAATCCCAGCTACTCGGGAGGCTGAGGCAGGAGAATCACTTGAACCTGAGAGTTGGAGGCTGAAGTGAGCAGAGATCACGCCACTGCACTCCAGCCTGGGCGACAGAGTGAGACTCCATCTCAAAAAACAAAAAACAAAAACAAAAACAAAAAAGAAGAAGAAGAAAGGGCAGACAGAAACCACAGAAGGAGGAGTGGTTAGCTGGGTCCAGGCCAGGTGGGGTCCTGCTCCTGACGTGGATGGGTCTGGGAGACCAAATATGCAAATGGACAATGGCCAGACCACATATGAAAATAGAACCCTGCCCCAAAACCTACAGCAACAGCCCGGGAAGCCAAAGAACAACCCCCGCAGCAATCAGCCCCAAATGGCCAGGACTTGATGGTAACTGACAGCTTCCCTAATTTTGTCCCCACTTCCAATTCAGGACAAACTGGAGAAAGCCAAATATGCTCCCCTAACCAATTACTTAGGGTGCCCCTCTTCTAATGAGCCCAACTGTAACTTTCCTGCACCACCAACAGGACGTACCTGAAGCCTTCCCCTTTTCCACTATAAAGCCTTCCCCCTCTGCCTGCCTTTGAGTCTCCACGAAAAGCAAGTGACAGTGGCTGGCTCCCTTACTGTAGCAGGCTCTGAATAAATAGCCTTTGCTTGCTGTCATTTGGGTGGTCTTTGTTTATGTCCACAAGCCCAAGGTCTCTCTCTCCCTTCCTGCTCCCAGGTCAAAGACGTCTTTGTCCCTCCCCAGTACCTCCCCCAGGGATGATGGAAGAGAGGGGCACGGGGATAATGAAGAGCGTGGCTTTGGAACAGGACAGATCTAGGCTGAAATTCTGGCTCTGATACTTAACTAGCTGCGTGATCTTGAGTAAGTCAGTTAAACACTCAGTGCCGCTGTTTCCTCATGTCAAGGGGACAGTCCGGCAGAACCCAAAGGCTGGTGTGAGAATTCAGGGAGGTAATGTATTTAATGCCCTGGACATGTAATAAGTGCTTAATAAGGAGAGGTCAGCCATCATGCCAGCCTCTTCACAACTCGCTGGAGTGGGCAGGCCCCCATTCTGCATCCTCACTCAGCCCACCCCTTTCCTTTACATCAGGCAGTCTGACTTCATCTGGATGCAATCAAGGTACAGACTCCAAGTCCAGGGTATAGCAAAAGCCAGGGATTGGTTTCAGACCAAGGATATAACTGAACATTTCTCTACGGAAATCCAACTGGGCCAAAGCAGAGGACAGAATGTTCAGGCCAGACACCTGCTGACTCCCTGTTCTGTCCTGGCTTTGAGGGGTGATCAGGGCAGGGAGAGTCTCAGAAAACTGTGTGCCTTTGCGCCAGGCCAGCTTTCCCAGGACTGAGGAGCATGAGCCAGGTAGTTTCCCAGTCTGGAGTGTCTGTGTGTGCCTCAGTTTCTTCATCTTTAAAGTGATAATTTTGCCAGGCACAGTGGCTTACACCTGTAATCCCAACACTTTGGGAGACTGAGGTGGTAGATCATCTGAGCCCAGGAGTCCGAGGCCATCCTGGGCAACATAGTGAGGCCCTGTCTCAACAAAAAATTAAATAAAAAATTATGGTGGCACATGCCTGTGGGCTCAGCTACTCAGAAAGTTGAGGTAAGGGGATCACTTGAGCCAGGTGATCGGGGCTAAAGTGAGTTGTGATCGTGCCACTGCACTCCAGCCTGGGCAACAGAGTGAGAGCGTGTCTCAAAATAAAAAATAATAATAATACAATAATAATTTTAATAACTTACCAGGATATACACATAAATAATGAGTATCAGGATGGGTATGGGTGTCTTAGTCTGCTTTGTGCTGCTATAACAGGATGCTTGTTATAAAGAGGGCAATTTATAGATAGAAATTAATTTCTCACAGTCTAGGGGCTGGGAAGTCCAAGATCAAGTGACCAGCATGTGGTGAGGGCCTTCTTTCTGCATTATAACATGGCAGAAGACATCACATGCCAGAAAGAGAAGAGACAGAAAGAGAACGAGGGCTGGAACTCATCCTTTTATAAAGAACCCACTCCTGAGACAATGGCACTAATCTATTCATAAGGGTGGTGCCCCCTGACCCAAACAATGGCAGCATCACGCCCGCCCCACCTCCCAACACCTCCAGATTGGGGATCAAGTTTCCAACAGATAAACTTGGGGAGACATATTCAAACCATAACAGGGAGCAGAGGCTCTGTGATGCCTGTGTATGGGGGCATCCTGAATCCCTTCACTCCAGTTTGCCAAGCCCTTTCCACCCCCTTGTCTCCCACTTCACTGTCACTACCGGAATTCAAGTCTCCAGGCAGCATCTTTTGCCTGCATTATTGCAATAACAAAGTGTTTTCCTTACTCTCCTGCAACGATCAAAGCATACAAATTAACATACGGGTGGGAAACCACCCCTGCCCCTTCCCTACTCAGGCAAAGACTTAAAATAATGATAACGATGTCGGGGGTGGGGAGCCCCCTTTCACCACAGAGCATGATTGTACACTAGTATATTTCTGAAGAGCAATTTAGTAGGAAGTACTTTTTGATTCTACAGGTACCATTTTTCAAAATGTCATCTAAATAAAAATCAGTTCTGGCACAAATACTTTGTTACAAGGCTCCTTATGGTAATATTGTTTCTGATGAAAGAAAAAGAAAAGAAATGAAAAGAAAAGAAAAGAAAGAAGAAAGGAAGGAAGGAAGGAAGGGAGGAAGGAGAGAAGGAAAGGGAGAAGGAAAGGGAGAAAGAGGAAGAAGGAAAGAAAAACTCAGACATCCAACAGGAAGCTTGGTTAAATAAATTGTGTAATCCATACCTTAAAATGCCATTCCTTCACTAAAAATGATGTTGTAGATCAGTAGTTTGTGCATCACGTGGGAACTGTTAGAAATGCACATTCTGGGGCCCCTTCCACATCTGATTCAGAAAGTCCTGGGGTTGGTGGTCGGGGCGCGGGGAGTAGGGGGCAGGAGGTGGAAGCAATCTGGGTTTTAATAAACCCTCCAAAGCAATTAAGAGCCATAGTGGTAGACGACCATCGCTATGAAAAGTTACACCGTTAAGTGAGGAAAGGTTAAGGTTAAGTTACACCGTTAAGTGAGGAAAGGCAGTAAGCAGGAACAGTGCATCCCCATATCTGTTATCTAGAGAGAGGCACAAATAGAAAAAGTCTGGGAGGAGTTTATACCCAGGTGATAACATCGACACTCTCTAGGAAGCAGGATTATAAGGTTTTAGAGTAATTTTGGTAATTCATGTTTTCTAACTAGTCTACAATGACTATGTTTGTGTAGAAAGGAAAGGAAAAAAAACCCAGTAATTTATTTTTTAATTAAAAAAAAAAAAAGTTAAATGGGACCAAGTTGGGGGGGTGTAGGGAAGGAGGCAGAGAGCCCGCCTCGCCGCGACAGCTTTCACCCTGGGAAAGCTGGGAGGCAGGACCGCCCAGGAGACCCGGGGCCAGTGGGGTGGGCAGCGCCAGGAGTCCTGGCGACTCCTCCGATGTCTAGCAAGGCTTACAACGGTTTAAATAATAAGCGAAGAGAGTCAGGGCAGACTTTCGGAATAACTTCACTGCTAAGGGTATCAAATCCTGGAATGGGCACCTTGGAGAGATTTTCTAGACAAGAACGGACAGCGGGTGCCAGGAGGGGATGGAGTTTCGCCGGCCAGAGGACAGAGGCTGCCGGATCTCCCGACCCCCTCCGGCACCGGGACTCCGGGGAGGCTGCGCCCGCGGCGGGATTCCCGCCCCTCGGAGATGTTGCAGGGACCCGCGGGGCGGGGCCGGGCCGTTGCTAGGGGAGGGGCGGCCGGGCGTGCGAGGAACCCAGCGGGCGACCGCGACGCACACTAGGTTCTCCGGCTCCAGCTCCTGCGCCGCCTGTTGCTCGCTCCTCCGGGCGGTCGCTTCCCGCCCGGTGCGCAGGAGTAGGCGGCCCGAGAGCGCGCAGGGAGCCTCCCGCTTTCGTCCCCTCCCCGCACTGCACGAGCGGATCGGAGGGGCCCCGAGTGTCCCTGAGAGCGCGGACGCGGGCGAGCAGCCCAGTGCACCCGGGACTGCGCGCCGAGACCCCCGGCGCCGCGCCGCGATGAATGCGACCTTCCTGAACCACAGCGGCTTGGAGGAGGTGGGCGGCGTGGGAGGCGGCGCCGGGGCAGCCCTGGGGAACCGCACCCACGGGCTGGGCACGTGGCTGGGCTGCTGTCCCGGGGGCGCACCGCTGGCCGCCAGCGATGGAGTCCCCGCGGGGCTGGCGCCAGACGAGCGCAGCCTGTGGGTGTCACGGGTGGCGCAGATCGCCGTGCTCTGCGTGCTGTCGCTTACCGTGGTCTTCGGCGTCTTCTTCCTGGGCTGCAACCTGCTCATCAAGTCCGAGAGCATGATCAACTTTCTGGTGCAGGAGCGCCGGCCCTCCAAGGACGTGGGTGCCGCCATCCTGGGGCTGTACTGAGCGCCATCTGGGCCCGCCCTCGCCAGCGCTGCTGCAAGAAGGACCCCGGAGACCCGGACCCTCGCCCGGCTCTCTCTGCGCTCTGCCGCTGCCTCCGGGCTGGCAGCTACGTGCCTGGGGCGCCAGGGCGGGGACGCGGCGAGACTCTCGGCGGGGGCGCGGGAAGGGACTTGGACGCCTGGCTCCGTCCTGTGTGCGCTGCAGCGTTGCGGGGTGGGAGAGTGGGGGATGAGGGTTCTTACCAGTTTTTGTTGTTGTTGTTGTTTGTTTTTTAAGACGTTCGGGGCAGGGTGGGAGTGGGTGTGGGGATGCAATTTGGGACTGCGGTAGCTCGCGTGGGAGTTTTGTGTGTACGTTGGTGCGGGTGGTTTCGGAGCAGGGTGCGGGGAGAGTGGGTGA